AACTGTAATCAGAATGGTCCCTTCCATTAAAAAAACTATATATATCTATATGCTCCATTATCCTCATTTCATTAAAAGAATAACTAAGAATAAAAGAAGATCTTATTCAAGGTCAACACATTTGTGCTTTTAATTTCTTTGATCAATATGCTATGCTTTCCACTGTACCAACTTTTAACACATTGGTTAAACCTATTCCTACACATTTTATTATTTTTAAGCATATCAAGAATGGGCCAGTTCCCTTTTATTTTCTCATCAAATATTTCATTATTAGTGTATTCAGATGATATTGATTTCTTTGTGTTTATTTTATGTCCTGCAACTTTATTGAAATTGTTTATTGTTCCAACAGTGTTTTTTAAGTGAATCTTTGACGTTTTCTTTTTTTTTAAATTTTAAATGTTTTCTTTACTTTTGAAAGATAGAGAGAGAGACAGCGTGAGCAGGGGAGGGTCAGAGAGAGAGGGAGACACAGAATCCGAAACAGGCTCCAGGCTCTGAGCTATCTGTCAGCACAGAGCCCGATGCGGGGCTTGAACCCACGAACTGTGAGATCATGACCTGAGCAGATGTCGGACGCTTAACCGACTGAGCCACCCAGGCGCCCCAAGAGGTATTCTATATACAAAATCACAGCATCTCCAAAAGTGACATAGTTACTTCTTCTTTTCTGATTTTGAGGTTTTACCCCTTTGTCTTGCCTACTTCCATTATCAAGGACTTGCAGTATTATACTGAATAACAATGGTCAGAACTAACATCCTTGTCTTGTTTCTGAGAGGAAAGGCTTTGAGACTTTCTCCACTGAGGATAATGTTAGCCGTGGGTTTCTTGTAGATGGCCTTGATTGCATTGAGGTTTTTTCATCCTATGCTCAATGCATTGAAAGTTTTTATGATGAAAGGGTGTTGAATTTTGGTCAATGCTTCTTCTGTATTCCTTGCAAAATCTTATGATCTTTAATCTTTCATTCTTTTAATGCAATATATTACATGAATTCATTTGCATATATCTAACCATTCTTGCATCCCAGGATTAAAGGCCACTGGGTCATAATGTATAATCCTTTTGATGTGTTCTTGACTTTGGTTTGATAATTTTTTGTTGAAATTGTTATGTTTATATTCATCAGAGATATTAGTCTGCAGTCTTCTTATAGTGACTTTATCTGGTTTTGGTATCAGGATAATGCTGGCCTTGTAGAATGAGCTTTCTAGAGTACTCTTCAAGTTTTTGGGTAGATTTTGAGAAGGATTGGTTTCAATTATCTTTTAAGCATTTGCTGGAGCTCACCAGTGAAGTCATCTGGTCATAGGGTTTTATTTTGGGGAGGTTTATGATATTTAATTCCACCTCCTAACTCATTTATTGGTATATTCATAATTTCTATTTCTATTTCTTCAAGAGTCAGTCTTGGTAGAATGTAGGTTTTGAGGAATTTATCCATTTATATTAAGATACACAATTGGTTGGAGTATAAATCTTCATAGTATTCTCTTATGAATATTTTTCATTTCAGTGGCATCCACTGCAACGTGTCTTCTTTGAACTCTGAATGTCTTTTACTCCCTTTTCTTTTTTTCTTAGTCTAGCTAAAGTTTTTTCAATGTTGATCTCTTCAAGTAATAAACTCTAAGAGATTTTCAATTATTGCCTAACTTTTTTCATTTATTCTGCCCTATAACTATGTTCCTCCCTCCACTTTCAACTTAGTGTATTTTGGTTTTTCCTAGTTCCTAGAAATGTAAAGTTAGGTAGTTTATCTGAGGCCTTTATTCTACACATCTCATGTTCATTGATTACAACAGTAAATATTTTTTTTATATTCTTACTATACATTAAAGCCCTCTATACATTCAGAGGAATCCTTATCAAAATACCAACGGGGACTACCAGGAAGATGGTGAGTAGGAGGACCCCAAGTTCACCTCATGCCATGGATACACCTAGATCACCCCCACACCAGTGGAAATAGCTCGGAAAACGACCTGAAGAGTGGCAGCACAGACTCTCACTAGTTAAATGCACAGAAGAAGCCACGTTGAAATGGGTAGGAAGGGAAGAGACATGGCTGTGAGCCAAAATGACCCACCAAGTCTGCCAGAGGGAGGGACCCTGAAGGCAAGGAGAAGGGAGAGAAGCAGACCTCCCACTAGGTATCCCAGACATGGGGGCCCACACTGGAAAGATGAATCCTCATAACATTTGGCTTAAAAATCACTGGGGCTTAACTACCAGAGTTCTTACAATCAGGGGATCGTCATACCTGGGATTTAAAATCAGGATATGTGGAGACAAGATAGCAAAGAAGCAGGGAGCTCCGAACATTTCACTCACCCCCATCTCACGAACAGAGAAGGCCTGAAGCCATAGGACACTGAACCGCAGGAGTCTGGGAGGAAAAGAGACAGAGTCCACTATGAAGACAACCTCATAGGTGTGTGAGTGCGAACTTGGGGAAGATAAAAGTGGGCCGGGACCGGAGACATGGAGGGAGGGGAGGGAGCCCCCTTCGCAGTGAGCCATGGAGACTCAAGGGGAAGAGAAAGAGTGGCTGAAACTGCTCATAGAACTGTCCCTGGAGAAGAGAAAAAGCTCAGCTCAGGACAGAGTGTGATCCTATTTCTAGCTGTGGCGCCGACTTGGGCTGTTTTCCCCGGTCCAGGCAAGACCAGGAGAAACTGTTTCCCTGCTCTCCTGGCTTGATCCCTGGCTGGGAAGCAGCCCAGCCTGTGGGATTATATTTTGGACGGTATCAATAAAGCATGCAGACTAAGACCTGGAAACGAGGCGAGGCTTGGGACATAGAACACAGCCCACCTTGGCTATGCTTGTGGTACAGGGAGATGAGACCCAAAAGAGTGATTTGCAATGCTTAGTTCCACAAAGGACTGAGGCGCCGCCATTTTTCTCCCCACAAGCACCAGGACAGGACCTCAGGGAATGGCTGAGGGACCACAGTGCAGGTGAGACCTGCCTATACCATACCACTCGCATTCCTGCTAGAGAGCTGGCTTTTTTGTTTGTTTGTTTGTTTTGTTTTGTTTTCCTTTTCTTTTTCCCTTTCAGTTTGCTTGTTTGTTGGATTTGTTTGTGTGCTTTTGTTCCTTGCGTATTTGCCTGTCTGTTTTCTTTTCCAGGGCTACCTCAAGAAACAAGCCCAAGTGCACGTGGTGGAGAGTCCCAAATACCACTACGAGTAAGGAAATAAAATCACCAAAGTCTCAACAAGAGAGACCAAGTGACACCATTCAAAGTACACTTCCTGAACAGAGAGGCCCTGGACAGTCAATGAGTCTTCTTTACTACAGCAGTACTCGCAGGTGCATAGTGCAAAACAAGCTTTTAAAACTAACAAGAGACAGAAAACTAAACAAAATGATGAAAGGGAAGAACTTTCCTCTAAGTAAATTCCAGGAAAAGTGACAGCTAAAGAATTGCTCAAAACAGATATAAGCAACATAACTGAACAACAATTTAGAACAATAGTCATAAAATTAATCCCTGGGCTTGAAAAAGGCATGGAAGACATCAGAGAAGCTATTGCAACAAAGATGACAGACCTTAAAAATAGTTGTGATGAATTTAAAAAATGCTATAAATGACATGCATAATAAAATGGAGGCTTCCAATGCACGAGTTGTAGAGGCAGAGAGGAGAATAGGTGAATTAGAAGACATAATTACAGAAAAAGAGGAAACCGAGATAAAGAGACATAACCTGATGTAGGAGCATGAGAGGAGATTTCGAGAACTGAGTATACAATCAAATGGAACAATGTCCATATCATAGGAATTCCAGAAGAGGAAAGAGAAAGGGAAAGGTGCTGAATGAGTCCTTGAACAAATTATGGCTGAGAACTTTCCCGATCTGGGGAAGGAAACAGACATGGAAATCCAAGACATTGAATTCCACAGAGAACTCCCCTCAGACGTAACTTTAATCGATGCTCTGCACGACATATCGGAGTGAAACTGGCAAAATATAACGACAAAGAGAATTCTGAAAGCAGCTAGGGATAAAAGAGCCCTAACGTACAAAGGGAGACCTATCCGAGTGCTGACAGACCTATCTCCTGAAACTTGACAGGCCAGAAAGGAATGGCCGGAAATCTTCAATGTGATGAACAGAAAAAATAGGCAGCCAAGAAGCCTCTATCCAGCAAGCCTGTCATTCAGAGTAGAAGGAGAGATAAAGGTTTTCCCAAATAAACAAAAATTGAAAGAACTCATCACCACTAAACCAGCCCTACAAGAAATCCTAACAGGGAGTCCATGAGGGAAATGGTACAAGGGACACAAGATACCAGAGACACCACCACCAGCATGATCCTACAAAGAACACAATGACGCTAAGCCCATATTTTTCAATAATAATAAGGCTGAATGTCAACGGACTAAAGGCTTCAATCAAAAGACCTAGGGTAGGAGAATGGATAAAAAACAAAATCCATCTATTTGCCCTCTACAAGAGAGTCATTTTAGACCTGAGGACACCTTCAGATTGAAAGTAAGGGAATAGAGAAATATCTTTCATGCTACTGGAAGTCAAAGAAAGCCGGAGTAGCCATACTTATATCAGACAAACTGAACGTTAAAGGAAAGGCAGTAACAAGGGATGGAGAAAGGCATTATATAATAATTACAGAGTCTATCCATCAGGAAGAGCTCAAAATTATAAATGTCTACTGCACCGAATACGGAAGCACCCAAATACATAAAACAGTGAGTCACAAACAGAAACACTTTAATGGAGAAGAATGTGCTAATAGCAGGGGACTTTCAACTCCACTTACAGCAATAGGTACCTCAACCAGACAGAAAACCACAAAAGAAACAATGGAGTTGAACGACATATTGGAACAGATGAATTTGACACATATATTGAGAACTCTACATCCTGAGGCCATGGAATTCACTTTCTTCTCCAATGCGCATGGCACATTCTCCAAGATAGGTCACATGCTGGGCCATAAAGCAGTCCGCCATACATATAAGAGAATTGAGATCATACCATGCACGCTTTCAGATCACAATGCTATGAAACTTGAATCAATCACAGGAAAAAAGTCTGGAAAACTTCCAAAAACATGGAGGTTAAAGAACACCCTAGTAGGATACAGGAGTGTTGATGCATAGGGGCACATGGACCCCAATGTTCATAGCAGCACTCTCCACAATAGCCAAAACATGGAAAGAGCCTAAGGGTCCATCAACGGACAAATGGATCTAGAAGATATGGTTTATCTATACAATGGAATACTACATGGCAATGAGAAAGAATGAAATCTAGCCACGAG